AAAAAACCAAAGCATGGAAATTGATTAGCCTGTAAGTTTAAAATATATCTAAGTCTGCAGTCCTGTAAACAGCTGTCTGATAACACAGGCAGGAAAAACTCAAAGGCCCATAAAATGTGTAGGTACATAGAATATATGCAAATAAAACTGTAAAACTGCTCTTTTAGTGCAAAATAAACTTGAAAGAATATCAGTAAAGGGCACTCCAGTAAAGAAAAAGATTTGGGGATAAGACCATAAGAACACAGAAGTCAGTGTAGTGTCAGGCCAAAAGAGATTCCTCTTCCATCCATGAGAGTGGCCACTGCCAGATGTTTGGGGAAGGCAATGGAAAGGACACTAAGGATTTTTCTCTCAACATACTTCTGTCAAGAAAGGATCTGATGATACTTGAGATCCCTCCCAGCCTGGTATTCTATCATTCCACAATTTTATGATTTTTCCCTAGATCACAGAAACCATCTTTTTAATACTTCCTGAATGGGATATCACATATATACCATTAAGGGCCCATGGTGGACTTCTTTCAAATGTGCCTAATCTATATCTATAATCATATTGCCTGTTTCATATGTCTTTCGTAACTTAATTGCATATGTTTCTGTTTGGTAATATCCCCTCGGATTTTTTCATCGCAAGGAGAGCTGAGTCACTGTAAGTACAAGGTCCTTGACAGATTTGCATTTATAGTGCTGCAGATGCAATGAGAATTAGATCATTTCCAGCTGAGACTAGAGCAAGAAGTAATACATTTATCAAATTCTAAAATTGCATCTGCCATTGCATGATTTGCATGAGTTGCCTGGTTGTCCTTGGACCGTTTCTGGTTCTCCCAGGTGACGTTGATATGACTCCTCCTTTAACCTTGATTATGTTAATGGTTTGTATCAGTAGTTTGGTTTGCCTAGCAAAATACTGTTTGACTGGAACTGCCAAATGGCCACTCTGGAGAAAGCAATATATGTATTTCAAATATAAAATTACATTAATTCAATAAATATATAGTTGTTTTAAAGGTTTTGCTTTCCTAGCAACTAGGCACAAGAACATTATCTATGTTTATCCATTTGGATTCTTCCGTGTTAGTTGTGTACTTATTTATTATCTAGTGCACTGTTAATAACATTATTCAATAATTTTTGAAAAATTTTATTAATCTTTAAAGGGTTTTTAGATACAGCTTTGGAAAACAGAAACATTTTTATTTCTGAGACTCCATCATTTTATTTCTGAGAAGCCATTGTAAGATGGCTTCTGTAGGAAGCCAGAGGAAGGATTCATACTTCCTACAATTTTCAAAGAACATTTATGCTTGCTTTTCTGAGGTTCTTCCAGAAGGCATCAGGACAGAAAATTTCATTCCAGTTCTTGCTTGCAGTATTTCTTGTAGATTCAAAGCTGGTGCATTAAAATGCACATTTGTGTTTTCTTGAAGGCCTCACTGTAGAGCCTCTGAGCTAAGACAGTTTGGGATATAAAATGTGAATGTCCTTCTTGATGCTGCTGGAACTTGTATATATGCAGGGGGCACATCCTGGTCTGGGTTTACTTTGAGAGGCTTCACAGTAAAGCAGAGTGTCGTCTGAAAACATATAGTTGAGAAAAAAAGTAAAAATAACTATAATTGCCATTTTCTAAGGAAACACTGATAGAATTACAAAGAACAGGAAGCTTTGAGTATGCTTGGGTGCAAAGCTCTCTGCATGTTTCGTTCTTTGAAACAGAGATCTGTGGTTTTTTAAAGAAGAACAGTCCAAAAATGCTAATGTTTTAGCTTTCTGATTTATTGAACAATATTTTTCTGACATGATTTTAGAGTGTTTGGATATGAGATGTAAATCTTTTGTCAAGAGTAATTGATAATCATCGAGGATTCTTTACCTAATTTTTCTGGCCAGCTGAGGTGCTAGGCAACAAGCTCAGGGCTAGTCATGAGCCTCCCACCTCAAAGAAAAAAGGCTGTAGTTCATACAACTGCATTGGCTTAACTTGACATGAACAAGGGATATGAATGAGGACAGAAAGGAATCTGAATTGAGGCCAAACAAGATAAGAAATGAAATAGGGTTCCTACCATGCAACAGAAGAGATGTATGGAGTGAGGAGAAATAGGGCATATCAGAATTCTCCATATTAACTGAAACATTGAAGCTACCAATTATCAACTCCAATGTCAGATTTCACTTTAAATTTGCATTGTCTTGTCCACCTCCATTTCCAATCATATTTTCAAGTTTGTGACCAACAAACTCTTTATTTATTAAAATATCCTGCTTTTATCCTTAATCTTGTGTCTTACATAAACCTCAAGGAACTGGAAGAGCACATGGTTAACTCCTGCTGGAATAATCTCTGCTGACAGCCTCTGAGACCATTTTGGAAAGCCTCAGAAGTGAGATGTTTCCCATCATGTTGCAGCAGTACCTTTGTGAGCGGACATTACTGGAGCCAGAGACAGCAAGAAGTTTCTCATTCTGCCCTACTAGTATGAACCTGCTCCAGCAAGAAACAGCTGATAGAGACAACAATAAAAACTATGCAAACAATAAAAACTGTTCAAAATTGTTTTTACTGATCCAGACATTATTCAGCTAGAAAATCACCTCCAGGAGACTGAAGGAAAGATGACGGGAATTTGACAATAGCCAATGACAGGCCTAATTAACACTTCCTATTCACAAGCAGGTTTTGTTTCTCATGAAAATTGCATAGAATGAAGATAGTTCTACCCCTTTTTTCTAAGGCAAAAAAGGGGAAATAAAAAGAAGAAAACATGAGGGCAAGATTGCTTGGCTACATCAGCAGTATTGACTGGTCAATGTAAATTAGGGAAGCTCAATTTTAGGCCATTGATAACATGGAAGGTGCTAAGATTTGATTATGACTCTACCTTGGCAGTAGTGGCAATGCCAAACAGCCCATGCAAGAGTGAGGACAGGCTGGCTGAAGACAAAGTGAGGCTGAAATTCCATGACAATCCTGTTGGTGTGTCTGGACGCACTGGAAGACTGAAGATGGCAACCGGTATTATCATGGAGGGGGTCCTTCTCATCAGTATCTGTTGTACCATCAAGGAATTGTGGAATATGGAAACTGGAAGCTTTGTCCTGGTCCCTCCTGGTGTTACCAGGAGTGGGCAGCCACCAGTGTTGCACCTCAGGCTGTCAACTATTGCTGCTGTTAAGGCTAACCATGTGCTCAACTCGGTGCAGTAGCTTTACTTGAGGAGCATTACTGGAGATCAAGAATTAAAAAACCTGCAGTTACTTCCTTTTAATGCATCTGAAGTCATCAGGCTTCCTCCCTTGGGTTGCTTTCCATGCAAAACTGTTTAAACTTACAGGAGCTCTTGAATGCCTGACAAAGGTGCAGTGCGGTTGTACAAGCTCTCTTTTCCCCCTGCTTCACGACAAGAAGCCGAAGTCACTGAGACCTCACACACACCAAAAGGGGTCCTAGGCTCCAGACCCGCTCACACCCAGAGGTGCTCAAACCTGCTCCCAGCCCCAGGAAAGCGGCGGGGTCTGCGGTGGCCGCGGACCACCATGTGGCCTCCAGAAGCGGCTCTGGAGCGTGGGGACTCTGGGGCCACGGGTGGGGCCGAGCGGCAGGAGGAAAACACCGCGTCTCGGAGCCAAGTTTCGCTTCTGGGAGAAGGGAAAACGAAACCAAGCTGTCCGCGGTTCTGCGCGGCGCGGCGGGATGGGCGGGGAGGGGTGGCGGTCACCGCACATTTAAGTGCGGAGCTCCGGACACCTCTCTGCAGCCTGCGGGGCGAGCCGAGCCGAGCCGGGTCGGACTGAACTGAACCGAGACCAGCCGAACTGACCCCAGCCGAATCAAGTCCAGTCGAACTGTGCCCAGGCGAGTCCAAACCCGCAGCACATCCCGCTGGGTCCGAGCCGACCGAGCCGAGCCGAGCCGAGCCGAGCCGAGCCGAGCCGAGCCGAGCCGAGCCGAGCCGAGCCGAGCCATGCAGCTGGCCCTGCTGTCCCGGCTGCTGTCCGTCGGGCGGGCGGTGCTGGCGGCGCTGCGAGGGCGCCTGGGCGCGCTGTGCTGGAGCCTGGCTCCCCTGTCGCTGTCCCTGTCCCTGTCCCTGCCCGGCTGGCGGGACTCGGCCCCGCGGCCGCAGCGGGAGCAGGAATGGGACGACGCGCCCCCGACGCCCACCAGCGTCAATTACCACTTCACCCGGCGGTGCAACTACAAGTGCGGCTTCTGCTTCCACACGGCCAAGACCTCCTTCGTGCTGCCCCTGGAGGAGGCCAAGCGGGGGCTGGCGATGCTCAAGGAAGGAGGTGAGTCCAGGCGAGGTGGGGCCGGAGGGAACCGGGGAATGGGGACGCCGCAGGACCAAGTGCCGTGGAAAAAGTTATCCCGGGGATGCCCCTCGTCCCGCTGTCTTGGGGCATTGATAACATTGAACAGGAGCAGGCATTGGGCAGCAGAGGTTCATAGCATCTTTCTTTGGTCCTGCTCTAGGAATGGAGAAAATCAATTTCTCGGGAGGAGAACCGTTTCTTCATGACAGAGGCGAATTTGTAGGCAAACTGGTCCAGTTTTGCAAGCAGGAGTTGGAGCTGCCAAGTGTCAGCATTGTTAGCAATGGCAGCCTGATCAGAAAGCAGTGGTTCCAGAAGTACGGTAAGGAGGGAACACTGGGCACAGCTGGGCTGGGGAGCCTCCATGGGGCAGCCTCACCCATGGATGGGCTTGAGGGCAAGTGGGAGATGGTTTCTTAGTGTTCAATTTTTAGTAAATGCAAATGAAATGTAATTACCAGTGAAACAGTTTTGATTATCTGTTGTAAAGATAGGCATTATACCATAAAAACTTTTTGGTATAATAGCGTAATAAAACAATAGTTCCACCTTTTTCCATAATGCTGGGGACACACACACACACAAACTATGTGTTTCAATACTGATGTGGCTTTTGTGGTTGATAGGATGACTCCACAGAACTGCATTTACATGGCATTTTGTGACAGATGACAAGGAAGTGAAAGTGAGCAGAGTCCTCACAGCTTTTAGCTGATGGACTGGATATTAATCAATTTTCAAAACTTGTTTCCAGGTGAATATTTAGATATTCTGGCAATTTCATGTGATAGTTTTGATGAGGATGTCAACGTTTTAATTGGCCGTCATCAAGGAAAGAAGAACCATGTGGAAAATCTGCATAAGCTGAGGCAATGGTGCCGAGAGTATGCAGTTGCTTTTAAAATAAATTCAGTCATAAACAGATTTAATGTTGAAGAAGACATGAACGAGCAGATCAAGGCACTCAACCCTGTGCGCTGGAAGGTAAGAAAGTACTACACAACACATGTTTCCTGTTCAAAGAAAAAAAATGAAGTCCTGGAGTCATCTGAACCTCTGTTGACCTGAATCTTAGCTTCAGCTTGGGCTGGTGTTAGGAGCCTTCTTCTCAATGCTGCATGGTGCTGAGATAGGTTCTATCTCATTCTGCCCTTAAATGGGGCCCAGCAATTCCATAATCTTTTTTTGGTTGTGTTATGTACAGAAAATTTCAGTGTGTGTAGATCTAGGTTGTTTTAGTATATTAAAATTAACACAGAAAGCCTTTAGCATGTGAAACTATGCTATGGTGTAGAGAAAATTAGGAAAAATTACTGAACAATGATACATTAAAGTCAATACATTGTTAGCAAGATATAAGTGAATATTAATTTTCTCTTACAGAGTATTAGAGATTAACGGACACATATTATTAATTTTTTACTAGAAATAAGTTTGAAAATGGGTAGAGATAATATGACATAAATATGGGAGAACTT